TGGAATAGTTTCTGGTGTTTTCCCAAGGTATAATGTAAAAAATGAGTAGTCTAATTCTCCCTCAGTTATCTTTTTTATGTCAGTCGCTACTTCATACCATAAGGTCTGTATTTTTGGGCAAGCCCAAAAAACGTGAAAATGGTTAGCCATTGAGGTTCCACATTGTCTCCAACAAGAGCCCAGACTTTCAATACCTGTATGCAATGCAGACAGCTTAGGAGTTATGAGTTTATGAACACTCTCAGTTATTTTCTAAAGTAGATTCAGGCAGGTTTTCAGTGCATCACAATTCCATATCACTGCGCCAAATGATTTTAGTTAATTCCCATTACTTTACAGCTCACAAAAGGCAAATAATATAATAATAATAATACACAATAATAATAAGAAAATGAATACAATTTTTTAAAAACATATATAAAGGCTTTCTCTACTGTACATTCTCTCCTATAACTGCATTATTCTACTGTCAGTGGCTCAAGCCTTTGTGATTACGCATTGAATGATAACTGTTTTCAAAGGTTTACTGCGGTTTGGAAAAGTCAAGGTTTGCAAAAGTTTTCAGTTATACCGTTCGTACGGTATATGTAAGATTTTTAAAAGTGTTTTTACAACTATTTTATTTAGTTTTTAAGGCAACTGTATCTCTGGCTGAAAAGGACCCTTCACATCAAAAGCTACTGTTCCAAAATATTTTAAATGTCTCCTAAACTAAAATATATTGTGTTCAATGGGGGAAAAGTCTGAATCTCCTATCGGCCTATACGTATCTGTGATAGCCACACTCTACACTGCAAGCAGATTCAAAGACACTTTCTCACACACATATAAACACACACACATAATTACAGTATATTAAAACTGTATTAAGAACTGTATTAATAACTGTCAGCTATCAATGGCTTACAGTTAAAGTCAGAATTATTAGCCTCCCTTTGATTTTTTTTCTCTTTTAAACATTTCTCAAATGATGTTTAACAGAGGAAGGAAATTTTTACAGTATGTTTGATAATATTGATAAGCCTTATTTGTTTTATTTCGGCTAGAATAAAAGCAGTTTTTAAATTTTAAAAAAACATTTAAAGTCAAAATTATTAGCCTTTATGCTATTTTTTTTGATAGTCTACAGAACAAACCATCACTATATTATATTATATTATATTATATTATATTATATTATATTATATTATATTATATTATATTATATTATATTATACATTTTGCTTACAACCAAATGTAAAGGGCAATTACATCATGCTACTGTATGTTAAACGATCCGTGATGTATTTTGAGTTTGGAGCTGACAGTTCACATACTGGGAACAACTGAGATATGGGATACTTGTATTACATCTTGAAAAAAAAAGCAAAGGGGTGAAAAAAGTAACCCCTTTAAATATTTCACCAAAGCCTATTGGAAAACAAATATTGAATCTTCAAATTGAAAGTTCATTAAACAATACACATTTACTCACCGTAAATTGTGCCAAGCCTGTGTGAGTTTGAATTGATTAAACTAAATTTATGAAAAATAGAATTATTCAAACAGTTCACACACTGAACTTTCCTGACACAGAATAATTACCAAAAAAAAAAAAACAACTTATGTTAAGTACATACTTGGTAAATGTTAATTTTGGGGGTGAGCAGTGGTGGATAGAGTACTGAAAAATCATACTCAAGTAAAAGTACCATAACTTGCCCAAGAATGTAGTGCAAGTAGAGTGAAAGCATCTGTTGTACAGAACACATTACTCAAGGAATGAGTAGAAAGTATCCCTTTTAAAAGTACGCAGGATTAGTGAGTATAATGCTGTCAAATGCTGATGTGTTCACATGCAGTTTGTGGATTTGTGTGTAAACGTAACATTCTGTAGTGCATTTAGTAATTGTTTAAGGTCATTTCGGTCATCATACAGTAAACATCCGTCATCTTCTCATCAGTGACATGCATCTAAGCAGCCTCTCGGTCTGCATCATCGCGTGTAAAGATTTTGAACATCTTCTTGGACACTTTTAATGCTTCCAAACAGTTTGCTGCATTTAAAAATCAGTAGTCAAGAGTTCAGAATGATGCTGTTTACATTCTATGTGCAATGTTATTGGACACGATATCACAGGACTGATTTTTCTATTCCCCGTATACAAGAAAAAATTGTGACTGCAGGTTGAAAGAAAATAAAACTACAGATTTAGCTCTAAAATATACTAAAAGAAAAGTAAAAGTACACATTTTTAAAATTATTTTTACTTAGTAAATTACAATTCTTGAGAAAAAAAACTACTCAAATACAGTAATTTGAGTATTTGTAATATTTTACTTTACACTACTGCATATTAGGTTAAATAGCAGTCTAGTCATTGCACAACGATCAAAATAAATATATATTTCTAATAACCTTAAAAAATGTTTAAAAATGAGGAAAAACTGCTTTTATTCTTATTAACAAGAAAGAAAAATAGACAATACTTTGAAAATGTCCTTGCTCTGTTAATCAGCACCTGTACAAGAGGGGTGTACAAGAAAATGTACAAGAGGGTTAATAATTTTCCCTTCAACTGCACTGTAAAAAACATATGATCAACTAGTCCCAACATCATATGTTTTTAGGTCATTGTTTTAACTAAATTTTATAAGTTACGCAAGCTGTTTTAAGTCAAGTTCAACAGAATATAAGTGCAATGGACTCAAAATATTCATTTGAATTAGCTTAAAAATTTAAGGCAACCTGGATTTTTTTACAGTTATACAGTATATTTATCAACAATGTGCCAAAACACTACAACACATAACGTTCCTCATCTAACCGTATACACATAGAAACATCTCTTTGTTACTTTAATCCATAAACACCTTTACTCTCACACACATAGTCTATTATGTACTTCTGCGGGGTCAATTATTAACCAGATTTGTACAGAAAGGGTCCAAACAGATTTCAGGTCTGATTTGGGTCTGTGTTTGGGTGTGTGGAAGCGGAGGAGGGCTTCGTTTGTGTTTCCTGTGTCGCAGTTTACTGTTTTTTAGAGCAAGAAAAATGGGCTTATGTAAGGGGGTCATGTGATTTAGCCAGAAATAGTGGCGAGGCTACAGCTGCTGTTGCTCCGTTTGCAGATCCTGGGCTTTTTTGGCAGCTTCGAGACAGACTCGCTGCGCATTTTCCCCTCCACCGAAAGCACTCGATGAGCCACACGTCCAATAAGGGTGAAAGAAAAAGCGGTCCTTGTGTAGGTAGTGCGTCCAATGGTGTACAGTTTAGCGGAGAAGTCCTTCCTATGATGCTTGAGTGGAGGAGGGGGTGGATTGTGGGTAAGATGTGCCTGGTTTTGGCCCTGTGGCGCTGGGCTCTGGCCCGTGGAGAGCGTGGGTGTGTGGCGATTCGCTGGAGCGGAATGGCGCTCTGAAACGGGAGCGAGTTTCGCGAGCTGTGGCCTTGGCCGGGGAAGGCAGCGCATGAGGGATTCTCAGGCTGTTACGTCCCGCGCAAAGACAGCAGCCAACCCATGACACACTCACAGGCTCTATTTGGGATGGCTCATTTGTCCTCTGTGATAATAACGCAGGGCCGGAAAAGTGGAAGACAGCTGTCTGTTTTGCATTGTGTACTCACAAAGGGATGACAGTGCAACTAGGACCAGAACGCAGAGCAATATCCTTGCAAAGGTCAAGTTTTGCATCTTGCACAAAATAGACTGATCTGACTTGTTGGATTATGTAATATACAGTGGAAGTTTTAATGATACTGTGAAATTTGTTTTCTTAAGTGCTATTTATTCATATTCAGTGCAGTGGTGGCTATTTTTAGAAATGTTATTATATTTAGCTTAATCAGAAAATAATGTCCTAATTCATCAAATTAAAAATCATGACATCAAATTATTTTGATTCGCAGCCCTGATACAGTTAAAGGCAAAATTATTAAACAACAGTTCCTTTTATTTTTTATTTTTTTGGAGAATTGTCTTATTTTTTCCAGTTTGGCTGGAAAAAAAGCAGTTTTTAAGTTTTCAAAAACATTTTTAGGGTCAATATCATTTTGTTTTTGTTTATTTATATTATCATATTATAAAATTAAAAAGCTAAATTTGCAACAGTAAACAATTGTAATAAATGAATCCAAAAAGTACATACATACATACATACATACATACATACATACATACGTACGTACGTACGTACATACATACATAAATACATACAAACAGTTGAAGTCAGAATTATTAGCCCCCTGTTTATTTTTTTTATAATAAATAATACTGACTTCAACTGTACATACATACATACATATGTAAAACTAACAATTTATTCCTTTTTAATTACTATTTATAATAATAATAATAATAATAATAATAATTTATCGTTATTATAATAATAATAATAATAATAAAACATTTAATAATAATGATACTAATAATAAAACATATAATAAAATAAAATAATAATAATAATGATAATAATAATAATAATAATAATAATAATAATAATAATAATAATTTATCGTTATAATAATAATAATAATAATAATAATAAAACATTTAATAATAATGATACTAATAATAAAACATATAATATAATAAAATAATAATAATAATGATAATAATAATAATAACAATAATAATAATAATAATAGCAGTGGCGCGGTAGGTAGTGCTGTCGCCTCACAGCAAGAAGGTTGCAGGGTCGCTGGTTCGAACCTCAGCTCAGTTGGTGTTTCTGTGTAGAGTTTGCATGTTTACCCTGTGTCACCCAATAATAATAATAAAACTTTTAATAATAATAGTAGTAATAATAATAATTATTATCATCATTATTATTATTATTATTAATAATATTATTATTATTATTATTATTATTATTATTATTGTTCATGAAAATAATACATTTAATTGTAATAATAATAATAATAACAATAATAATAATAATAATAATAATTATAATAATAATAATAATAATAATAATAATAATAATAATAATTTGTTTTTACACTTTCTCTTTTGCAGGTCAGCACAACTACCTTTGTGCTGGGAGGAATGACTGCATCATTGACAAGATTCGGCGGAAAAACTGTCCGGCCTGCAGAGTACGCAAGTGTCTACAAGCTGGGATGAATCTTGGGGGTAAGTGAATCTCATTACTATGAGACGAAAATCTGTTGTGAAATGATATGAAATGATAATACTCGCACAGCTGAGATCATTCATCCTAAAATTACCCCAAAAAATATCCATGAGACAAAGTTTTTTTGTGTGTGGGGGTGGGGGGGTATTTTAAAACTTAAAATACGAAGAAGTGGCATTTAAAGCTTAAGTTTTACAATGTGCCACAGCATTTTTTCTTCTTTTTTAATCAAAGGTAACAATGAAAAAAGAACATACTGAAAATGCACCACGTTCAACTCGGTTTCAATTCAATTTTAACACAAAATGATCAGTACTTTATAAGCTGGAATAAAAGCACCAATGTGGCTGGTTTGAAAGAAAAATCAGCCACATAATGAAAAAAATCTATAAAGGGATAGTTCACGCGTAAATGAAAGGACAAGTAAAATCATACATTTATTATGTTGCAAGTCAGTTTAACCCTGTTAATCTTTTTAAATAGTTTGAAATACAGATATTTTCTCTCTTATTTTATTTAGGACCATGAAATTTGTAGTAAAATACTTTATATATTAAAAAGATGTTTTTAGATTGGGGCTAGCCAATGGCTGAATTAATTGGTTGCCATATTAAAGATAATATAAAAGACATCAATCATCAAAAAATAAAAATTCTGTCATCATTTACGTTTTTTTGACTTGCTCCAAAACTGTTAGAGTTTCTTTATTTTGTTGAAAACTAAAGAAGGTATTTTAAGGAAAGCTGGAAATCTGTAAATATTGGCTTCCATATTTGTTTTTCCTACTATTGAAGTCAATGGTTACTGGTTTTCAGCTTTCTTTAATATTTATTATTTAGTGTTGAACTGAATAAAGAAACTCATAAAGGTTTGAAAGCCACTTGAGGGAGAGTAAATTGTGAGAAATTTTCATAAATTTTAAAACTATCCTTAAAGAATGTTCCCATATTAAGAAATAATCATAAAAACAGTGTTATTTGAGAAATCAGTATAGCCTCAGATAACACTATGTGCATCACTTCAACCATGTAAACTCCTGAAAACAACACATTAGGCAGAGATTGACTCGCATGTCCAAATTTAGAAAGAGATGAAAACATGCACACTAATAGCAGGAGAAACAAACACAGCGGAGTTTCATCATGCTCATCTGTAATGTGGTTGGAAACACATGATTTGATTTATTGTCCAGCTCTGATTAAAGTCACATCTCCACCTGTGGTAAAGCAGGCTCAGTCTTTTCTTTATGTTCCCTTAAAGGGATAAGTGACACAAAAATGAAAATTCTGGTCATTAACTCACTCTTGACTTGTTCTGAACTGGTTTGAGTTTGTGTGTGTGTGTGTGTGTGTGTTCAATATAAGAAATTATAGTTTACAGAATGTTAAAAACTGGTAGCCATTGGCCTCTATAAGAGGAATTAGGGCTGTACGATATTGGAAAGTTTAAACATTAACAATATATATATATATATATATATATATATATATATATATATATATATATATATATATATTTTTTTTTTTTTTTTTTTTTTTGCGATATATATTGCAATATTTCACCAGATAACTTATCTTTATTTGGAAAGAATTTATGACAATAGATCAAATAGGATGATTTTGCAGAAGGAATGCATCTCCATAAAATCTAATAAACAATCTTTAAAATGTTTGGAGCCTGTGCTATTTGCAGTGCATTTCTGTATTTCTATATTTGCAGTGCACATGTGTTATGAGTATTATAATGCATAACAACATATAAATACTATCAATAAAAAAAATACAATAGGGTGTATCTAATAATAAAGTGTTTTAGCGTTTCCCAAGTCTAAATGTATTCAAGTACAGTAACTGAATGATAAAAATAATTCAATAAAATTTATCTTAGTTAAGATCACAAATGGTACAATTTCTTATACCTGAATGCTTTTAAAATCATAAAACAATTCCAGGCATCAAAAATACATGCAAATGATAAATTATAATACAAACTCAACATTGCATATATCCTGTAATTTGACTGTTGCGAATGATTAAATTGCGATATCTATGCTAAAACAATTGTGCAGCCCTAAAAGAAATAATAAATGCATTCAACAATTTTCATAATATCTGCAGTTTTGTTTGGAACAAGTCAAAGGTGAGTAGATGATGACAGAATTTTCATTTTTTGGTTAAAATTTTGGTTTAAAGTCTTAATTTTCAATCAAAATGGTTAAGTTGAAATGGGGAATGTGGAATACATGAACAAATTGTATTGTATTGAAATTATATGTGGTAAAGTTTCTTAAATCATCAGTTATCACTGACTAATACTATAAACAACTTTAGGTTTTACTAGACAAGATTTACAGCAGTAATGTTTAATCTTTCAGATAGTGATTTTGCTTTCTTCAATGTCCCAACTAAAATCATCTTGGGAGTAATAATAACATATTCTTCATAGATTCCATTTTAATTAAGTTTCAAAGTAGAATGAAATCTGTGGTGCTTTTGTAAATCAGAGTTTGTTAAGAGAAGTATATTATTCTGTCCATTTTTATATTTGGATAGTCAACAAATAACACGGGAGTGACCTTTATTTAAACCCAGGATTTTCAGCCAGGGGTTTATGAAGGTACTGTATGACGTAAGCTGGGGAAAATACATTTACAGCTATGGAAATATGAAGAGACCACTGGAAAATTCTGAAATTTATCTTGTTTTATTTTCTTGCTTTGTTGCATTTTTATTTTTAATGAGACATTGTTTTATAAGATATCCATATATTATTTACTTTTTGTAGTGTAAAAATAATGTAACTAAAGAAAACGTAAATTTTTGTTATTTTATATGAATATATATATATATATATATATATATATATATATATATATATATATATATATATATATATATATATATATATATATATATGATTTTTTTTCTTCCATTTTAAAGAAATCTTATCAGTTAACTGGAGAACAAATCATCAATTATGTTTTATTCAAACAAATAAATATAAATTGTAGATCCAAAGAAATTGAGAATTTTCAAATATCTCTTGGTTTTTTTCACCAAGTAAAAAAAAATATAAAAAATAAATAAATGCTTTTAATTGAAGATTAATACATTTTGTTTTTGTCGAAGTTACTACTTTCAATGTGGGTCCCTTGATTCAAATTCTCAGTTCTACAGCATTTTTATTAGTGCTGGGCAAAGATTAATTGCATCCAAAATAAAAGTTTGTTTAGATATTTTATACAACGTATATGTGATCCACACACATTCATAGAAACAAAACTATACAAAACAATTTTGATCCATAGATCAATTTCAATTTTATACATAATTTGTATCCTATACAAGAAGATTTTATATATTATATTACATATTTTATATATACATACAGTTGAAGTCAGAATTATTAGCCCCATTTGAATTTTTTTTTTCTTTTTTACAAATTTCTCAAATGATTTTTAAAGGGCACCTAGGTTACCCCTTTTTTCAGATTTATTAAAAGTCTTTTGCGTCCCCAGATTCTGTCTGTAAAGTTTCAGCTCAAAACACCCATTAGAGTATTTATTATAGCTGTCTGAAGTGTTGGTATTATAGCTGCTAAAACCTGGTTGCTGTTTTTTGTACTGGGCCTTTAAAGCTAGTCCTCCCTGCCCACTGTTCCCACGTGCCTGTCAGCAGCATGCCTCAATTGCCGCCCTCAGCTGCCTCAGGAAGCAGATCTCACATTTGAGAGAAATACTACAGTAAGAACTTTACCAATAAGAATTTGATGCATTTTTTGTTTTGATTATATGTTTTGATTATATGTTTTGATTTGAGTTGCAACAATGAGTCACACACAATAGCCGCAATAGCCGTTTCCACTATCGCGCCTAAAGCGAGCGAGCCAGGGCGAGCCAAGGCCAGTGGCATTTCCACTGTCACTTCCGGGGCCTAATCGGGCCAAAGCGGGGCTTTTTTGGGGCCAGCGGCCGGCCTTTTTCGGCCTGCCGAATACCTTGGGCCAAGGAGGGCCAACTGGGGCTTCGGGGCGGAGTGAAAGGAGAGGCGGGCAGTTTTCTGATCACACATGAGTACATGCGCCAAACAAATAAATAAATAATGGAAAGAAAACATCTAGCCTTATAGTCTGGGGTCTTTTTGCGTATGATCACCCTTATGTTTCCTTTTTAAATGTAAGGCTGCTGCATAAAATAATAAAGTAATTTTAATTTATAGTGACGTTTTTTGCTGCGTCCTCCTTTATGTTTCAATAACACATAATAATCTTTACACCATATTAAAAACACACCAGACAGTAAAGGTTTTCGAGAGTTTTTGTCAAGTTTAAAACTGTTTTACTCTTTTACTGTTTACTAATATTATTTAGGTTTAGAAATGTGTTGAAAAATATCTTCTCTTTGTTAAACACAAATTGAGGAAAAAATAAACAGGGTGTGCTAATCATTTAGGGAAGCTAATAATTTCAACTTCAACTGTGTATATTTTAATAAATGCATTTCTTGACGGCTTAGTCCCTTTATTAATCCGGGGTCACCACAGCGGAATGAACCGCCAACTTATCCAGCAAGTTTTTACGCAGCGGATGCCCTTCCAGCCGCAACCCATCTCTGGGAAACATCCACACACCATTCACACACACACACACACACTCATACACTACGGACAATTTAGCCTATACCCAATTCACCTGTACCACATGTCTTTGAACTGTGGGGGAAACCGGAGCACCCGGAAGAAACCCACCCGAAGGCAGAGAGAACATGCAAACTCCACACAGAAACGCCAACTGAGCCGAGGTTTGATCCAGCGACCCAGCGACCTTCTTGCTGTGAGGCGACAGCACTATCTACTGCGCCACTACCTCACCTTGTATTTATATATACATAATAAACATAAACTGTACACACATGTGTATTATGTCAAAACAAACTTTTATTTTAGATGCGATTAATCAGGATTCATTTTTGTTCAGCTCTAATTTTAATGCTTAAGGGAATGTGTATATTTTACATTCTGATGATAGACACTTAATTATAGTATATTAGATAGAACTCATTTAAATATATGTACATATTTTGTTGAGAGTCAAAATCTATGCATCACTCATTGTGACTAGAACATATGTTACCTTCAATCTCACTTACTGACGTGATATGAAATCTGTTCGCGCAGGAATCTTGCAATTAATATCAAATAGGAACACACACGCACACACACAGCCAATTAACAGCATCCTCCTGAACTACATAAGAGGTCACATCTATACAGCAGGGATTTAAACTGTGATCCCTGCTATAAGACCCATCTCTACTTCAATAATTACTTCTATCAGCTTCAGCTCATTTCAGATATGAAACACTATAAGAACACTGCTTCCAGTCTACACTGGAGGTCTTTTCATTAATATCATGTTCTTTCCGAATTATTTATCTCTCTTAAAAATCATTTTAAGGCTGTCTGTGAAATGAATCAGGAACGACTTCAATAATGTACATTTGCTTTTTTTACTCAGCACGGAAGTCGAAGAAGTTGGGGAAAATAAAGAGCATTAGTGAAGATTCTTCCCTGCAGAGCTCAAAGGATGGCCCGTTTTTGACATCCGAAAAGGAGTTGAGTTCCTCCACCGCTCTCGTACCACACACCCCGACGGTCGCCCCATATCTGACGCCGTCCGTCTGCAGCGTTCTGGAGCTCATAGAGCCAGAAGTGGTGTTCGCTGGCTATGATAACACACAACCTGACACAACAGACCACCTGCTTACCAGCCTCAACCAGCTCGCCGGAAAACAGATGATCCGAGTGGTCAAGTGGGCCAAAGTACTTCCAGGTATACTCAAACTTTCTTATGAAAACTACTTTTATTTGTAGTTCAATGTGGGTACTATATGGCTCATTTTCCATATAGTGGTACAGTTAACAAAGTAGATGGTTAACAAACTATAAACAACGGATCTGGAGTGCGTTTCCCCAAAACCATCGTTAGCCAGCTAAAGTCGCAAGTTCTGTCGTTACAAACATAATTTGTTGATTTGCCGTTTCCCAAATTAGTCGCTTCAACGAACATACCCTGTAAAGTGTAAGTTAATATATTAGTTAAGTGTTAGTTATAAGCTTATGTGTGTTATTGGGATGTTATTTTAAAGTTGCAACTATTCCTCATTTACTAACAGTTTATTAAATGAGGAATAATTGCAACTTTAGAATAATGTCCCTATAACATATATAAACTATTAACTGGTACTTAACAAGCCTTTAGTAAGTAAATTACTAACAGCTTGTTCATGATCTATTACTAATTTATTAGGTATAGTTAAAAATCATTAACATTTATAATTTATAACTTGTTAACTAACAGCTTGTAAGTTATCTATTGGCTATTTATAAGGCACAGTTATAAATAATTAAACTTTTAACTTTCATTTAACAAAACATTTATACCTCATTAACTAACAGTTTAGTAGTGAACTATTAACCAGTTATAACAGATAGTTACAAATAATAACCAAACTATACACTTTTATTTAACAAGACATTCATAACTCATTAACTAACAGTTTATTAATGGGCTATTAACTAGTTATAACAGATAGTTATAAATAATAACCAAACTATTATTTATTTAACAAGACATTCATAACTCATTAACTAACAGTTTATTAATGGACTATTAACTAGTTATAACAGATAGTTACAATTAATAACCAAACTATTACTTTTATTTAACAAGACATTTATAACTCATTAACTAACAGTTTATTAATGAACTATTAACTAGTTATAACGGATGCTAAAGTGTTACACAAAAGTACAAGTTAAGGTACATCAAAGTAAAGTATAGGTTTAGGTACATTTGTACTGTAATGTATCTTAACTTGTACTTTTTATGTACCTTATAGAGCCCCTATTATGCATTAAAAGGTCATAATTTGGTTATAGGGTTTCCAACAACAGTCTGATATGCATGCAAGGTCAATAACTTTCATTGTCTTATAATGCACATTTATTTTCACTTAATTATCCCAACGATTCCTGTATGATTCGTTTAGGGCAGGGGTCACCGATCTCGGTCCAGGAGGGCCGGTGTCCCTGCAGGATTTAACTCCAACTTGCCTCAACACACCTGCCTGGGAGTTTCAACTATATCTAATAAGACCTTGATTAGCTTGTTCAGGTGTGTTTGATTAGGGTTGGAGCTGAAATCTCCAGGACACCGGCCCTCCAGGAACAAGTTTGGTATTCACTGGTTTAGGGATTCATTTGTTCTCAAACCTCTCCTTAGCGCGAAGCTAATCTGTGCTGATTGGATCAATGATACAGTCTGTTGTGATTGGTCGACTGTGTTCAGTGCGAGATGGAGAGAAGTGCCCACCACAGCTATAAAATAGCAGCCAAAGAGTATGTTAGAGCCCAATGCAGGAATGCAGTTAAACAGCAGCATATTCTACTCTTAAACTTAACCCCAAGTAATAACAACGACACACATTCAGTGTTAGTTCACACAGTGCAAAAGTTGAACTATTTTGAAAATTGACCACGCCGAGTGTGTATGAACAGCTGATGTTGGCCACAGCAACAAGAAACGGCAGAGGATTGTGAATTCAGAAACGCATTTAAATCGATAAAGGAAGGAACACGCGACGCGTTTTCAACGTGGTTTTGGGCACAATATGTGAATAGCCCCATTGAGGATTTAACCTGATAAATGCAGTACAAGCACTGATCTATAATAAATATGAGATTCTGATAATGAATAAATTACATTGTTGCATTTTATGTTGAATATTCTTAAAGTGTTCTTGCATGTTCTTACATCCAAAAAAGTACTTGGGTTTTAAAAGGTAAACTAAATGGGTTAATGTTAGATTCAAGAAGCATGTACCGTTTAGCCTGTAGTAATATAATCTTAATTAACAATTAAGAATGGTTTTGAAGAAAAAAAAATCTGGTTTGGCCATTTCAAATTAAGTTTTGAAGGTACTTGCCATGAGACGGTCATTTGCTGTATTGCAATTATTTGATACCAGGGTGTCTGCTTGCTTGCTATATCCGGATATATAAATAGCTGGCTGAAAACACACCAGGGCAAACTGCCTCACCGACTTTCAAAGACTTTCCAGGCAGCTCTTTTGAGCTCCTGGAGCATCACACGCTCAGCCGATCTACAAGTGATGACTTGCAGATGTGCATTATCACTTATCTGCTTCTGTTTGCTTTGTTACTGTGATTTGAAACCATTTAAGGAGTCCGAAACGGTTATATTGAACATTCAGATGAGCATTTGATGGGATTCATTTCAGCACTTTGTTCTGTAATATTTCACCAGCACATGTGGGCCTGTTTAAAAATGGATAACATGGGGAAAATGAAAAAAGGATGCTCAACGACTGTCTGGAAAGTAACTGTACGGAAGAAATAATAAGGTGACAGTGTGACAAATTATAGTAAGTAGTGAGTTTACATATTGCAGACAAGCCCAAAATAGTCTCTGCTTCACTGATAAGTTTATACTGTAATGTGTCCTCGTGCGACTTCTATTATAGCGTGTGGGTGACTTTACAGCTCTCGATGTGAGTTTTGGCAGGAATCCAGTCTGCCGTATTGCTAACTCTCTTTGACAACAGGACAATGAGTGGAAACCTTCAGTGATTCATGTAAACCTGATTCTGCCCACTACGCTGAGTTTTTTTCTTCAATTGTGAACAAATTTCAGCAGTTCTAGGAATCAAGCTTACATTGTTAGTGGCAACAGCCTCATACAATACAGAAATGAAAAAAGTAGATCCGACCTTACTTGCCCTTTCCAAACTATACGTTGTTATCCAAGTAAATTACAGTTGAAGTATCTTCAAAACTTTTCAAATATTTCAGTATTTACATTTTATCCATAAAAACAGGCAATATTATAATCAAGTAATTATAAAATAAAAACAAACAAGAATAATAGGGAAAAATCCAATAGAGCAGTGGCCAATTTTTACATTCATTCATTCATTTTTCTTCGCCTTGGCCCTTTATTTATCAGGGGTTGATAAATAATTTATTCCACAGTGGAATGAACCACCAACTATTCGAGGATATGTTTTACACAGCAGATGCCTTTCCAGCTACAACCCAGTACTGGGAAGCACGCATACCCTCTCACATTCACACACGCACTCATACACTATATATGACCAATTTAGTTAATTCAATTCACCTACACTGCATGTGTCTTTGGACTAGGGAAAACCGGATTCGGATGAAACCTACGCCAAAACAGGGAGAACATGCACACCCCACACAGAAATGCCAACTGACCTAGCTGGAACTCTAACCAGCGACCTTCTTGCTGTGAGGCAACAGACTCAGATTCAAACTCAACTTTATTATCCTGTTTAGGGAAAATAAATTTGCAGCAAGGTGCCGTAACACAGGCGAAGTTCCATGTACCCATTAATAAAATATTACCCCACAACATACAGTACATCACATTGTAGGTGCATCTCCCTTCCCCTGGACTTATTTATTGACTTAATGACCACCTTTATACTGTAGAAGAATTTCTAACTCAATTTGTCCTGCAAATAGAAACTCTAAAACGACATCCTAATGGCAACAGCTGAAACACAGAGTACAACGGGTGATCCGGGGTGCATAGGATACCCTGAGCTCTCTTTAACACATCAGTATGGTAAATTACCATTGGACCAGTTTGGTTAAAGCCAATGATCTTGCCTGCCACCTTCACCAGGCTACTCAACCTGTTCTTGTTTGACAACCTCAGGTTACCATACCAAGCTACAATGCAGAAAGATAAAACATATTCAATAAATTGTTTATAAAATAATGTCATCTTAGAGGTACAAACCTGAAACGATCTTAGTGCTAACGACTGTGCCACCCTGGCCAATTATTTATTTATTGAATTTTTCCTGACTCACATGTCAATGCTCTTAATATTTGTGTACAGCCATGACTATAGAATACACAAGACAAGTCACTTGTATAGTTTTGAATGGGGAAAACGCAAAGGTAAATATGGATGCTCTAGCAAAGGAAGCTTCGCCTTCAGCTAAGTGAGCCAATCATTGATTTTTATAGACTGATGATATTCTGAGGGGAGGGCTCATTCCAGACTTGTGTTCTTTATAACTATCTCTGCAGTTTCTTTGTTCTGAATCCTCTGGGGTTGGCAAATGCACTGGAATCTCAGCGAATTCTTGTCTCACAGACATGAGAAATGTATACACCTTAAGCTTAAAATCTCAATTTTTAAACAAACCAGCTACACTGGAAAACAAATGTTCTCTAGTTTTGTAATCTGTATGAACACATGGTAGTCTGTGCTATCAGACATGACAACATCCAGTGTTGGGGAAAGTTACGCTAAAGTGATGCTTTACAAGATTAAGTTACTTCCCAAAATAGTAACAACGGTGGTACATTACTTTTGAGTTACTTTAATTTTTCTTACCTGTTTTTTTTCCTATTTTCTTTTTAATATAGGAGCTCTGCAATTAACAGCGTATAACTGTATAAGCACTATATAACTTTCATTTACTGTTAAAGAAATAGGATAATGTTATCTTGTTAGAACTTCCTGACCCCAGAGCTATACTGTACATGAGGCATAAATACAGATTAATGAACGATTGTTTGCTACTTTTGTATTTTTGTCTTGAGACAAAAACCCTTTTCCTTTTCTTCAGTGCGTTCAAAACATTAAAAAAACTTCCACTGCAGAAATGTAAGGCTCTGGCAGGAACTGCATTAGCGTGAATCATTGTGATGTTAACTTTAATTCAGTTATTTATTTTTAAAAGCTAATTCATTTAACATGAATTAACTTAGACTGTATTACATTTTTTTTTAAAAAGTAATGTATTTCTTTACTCGTTACTTATAAAAGTAATATTATTACGTAACACAAACTTGTAAACAAAGAGGTCAGATTCATTTTGGTAAAAGATTTGCCATTAGGGATAAGTTGAACTTGTTGGATTTGTGTGCAAAAAAGGGCGGAAGATGGAAACACATTTAGCGAATAAACTCTGATGTAGCGAACATTACACCTGTACATGACGCCATGATGCTTTCCTTGATAACTTTACACTACAATTGAATCTACTAAAACTGTATACTACAATCAGCCGCTTTAACAAGTTAATGGAAACACTCCTAATTCACCTTATTCTTGTTTTTATTTTATTTTTTTAACTTAAAAAAGATTCACTTCACGTTAGGATGGAAATGCAGACAATAATTAACAGAAAGCTGCTTGGTTTGAAAAGCACGTGTGACCTTTTTTTTTAACATTTCATAGTGACAATGGAAAATTGGTATTTTTTTGGTAAGTCATGTTGTTGTTTAAAAATTATAATGCAGCCCTTATCAACTAATGCATGTTCATAATGACAAGGGCCTAACAAATACAAAATCTAAACACCAAAGCATGGACAAATATATATATATATATATATATATTTAGTTTTTGTTGAATAAAAGGACAGCATAGTGGATCCCATTTCTTACAGTTATGGCTTAATATCAGCTCTGCTTCAGGGCAAGTCATGCCCTTGAGTGCCCCATAATACATCTCTTTTCTCTCTGCTAACTTGCCCTTTATATTTTTCCCCAGGTTTCCGCAGTCTACCCATTGAGGACCAAATCACGCTGATCCAGTATTCCTGGATGTGTCTCTCCTCCTTCTCCCTCAGCTGGAGATCCTACAAACACACCAACGCCCAAATGCTCTACTTCGCCCCGGATCTAGTCTTCAACGAGTAAGATAATTCACAAAACGCTCAAGGTTTACTTCATACAGAAATGTTCCTCAGCCAGAATATTCAAAACAACATCCAAAATCAACAAACAGCACACTATCTTTTTTTTTGATATGCTACAACATACTGCTAATCCTTGGCCCGAGGTTAACCCTGTCTAAAGAATCTGGTCCTTCGAGTTAAAGAAGTTCCGATAATAATACAAAATGATAAGCTCAATAAGCATGTTCCCAGCAGGCGTACGACTGTGACCTCAAAACTGTCCTTTCAATTGCTCTGCTAGGAAATACACTTTCCTTATAAACGCTTCTTGATAACTTTGATCTGGGCAGAGAGGTAGGTCAATGGGGCTCATAATCAGCACAAACCACGAGAAATGTTGAGCACAGGGAGTGTGATCGTGTGCTTTTTAAAGCTAAATGTCTATTTATTGGGCATAGTGGGAGAAGCGTAAAAACAGAGCACAGTGACCCCTGCAGGAGAGCTGGGGCACTTCACTAGACTTGCCAAATGACTTGGAAAGAACTTCAGGGGGGAAATTGTATGTACAGAATTAAATGCTTACTTACATATAAATTTATGCTCAGCACCTTATGCATGATTCTTTCGCATCCCGATGGCAAACAGTCACACGTTTCATGCTGGTTCACAGTTTTTAATGGGCTTGGTTTTTATTTTGTGAGCAATTAGCAGTTTTTTTTCTATATATATATAATAAGTCTCCTGACAAACCATGAATCTTGTTCATATGAGACTGTGGCAATAATTCATGGGTTTGTCTCTAGGTAATTTGATCTAGCAGGCAGCATGGCTGTCATCCACAGTGTTTTTTTATATAGAAAATACATTTTTTATCAGGATTTTGACAACACACCTACTTAACTTACTTAACTCACATTTAATCAAATAATAATAGTAATAATAATAATGCCATGACATATTAAAAGCCTGACTATTAGGATCACAGTGCAGAACAATAATATGGTAACACTTTATTTTGATGGTCCCTATTGTGCATTTTGTTGCCTAAAAGTTACATTGGAACATGCCAATTAATTCTAATTTGACTATTAGTAGACTGTTTGCTCATTATCTGCTGATACTCAGGGGCGGATTTAGTGATTTGGGGGCTCTAAGAAGATCCAGCCATGGGGCCCGACAGTCTTACAATGAAACCATCAGTACAATTTTTATTTAATTTATTTGCTGTTTTTTCTCACTGAATCTCCTTTTCCATGGTTTATCTTAACGAAATCTCTAAATTTCAAATGCTTTGTTTTCTTAAAATGAATTCAGAACTAAAATGAATGAATACATCAAAAATAAAAAAATAAATATTTTTTTAAACTAAATCTTTATCTGACTTGACTGCTGGACTGCTCCATGATTGGGGGTGTAAGACAAATTTGTGTAGATGTTATAATTACGTTAAAATTTAATTAGTTAGACCCTCACCATTACAAAATATTATAGAAAATGATGCTATGTGTATAATTTATACTTCTATTTATTTATTGGGGGCCCCCCATATGAGAATTAGTTGCCATATAGATGCAGTGTAACTTAAATTCAACAAAATGCATTAATGCAGGGGTGTCCAAACTCGGTCCTAGAGGGCCGGTGTCCTGCATGTTTTAGTTCCAACCCCAATTAAACACACCTTGACCAGCTAATCAAGCTCTTTCAGGATGTACAAGAAACTTCCAGGAAGGTGGTTAAAGGTAGTTGGAGCTAAACTGTGCAGGTCACCAGCCCTCCAGCACTGAGTTTGGACACCACTGCATTAAAGAGACCATCAAAATAAAGTGATACCAAACACTTTATTAAAAAAAAAAAAAAAATATATATATATATATATATATATATATATATATATATATATATATATATATATATATATATATATATATATATTTTTTTTTTCTGTTGTCCTTCAAACCAAATTCGGCCACAAGATATATATTTTTAATAATTTAAAATAGAAATGCATTTTATTTTGATCATGTTTCATTTTTACATCACTATCTTTGTTAATGCCTGCTTATTTGAAAGAATTATAGAGCATTATTTAACCCATATTCCGTCTATGTTATTAATAAATGCAGCATGTTCTGGGATCTGTACAGTTTAATAATAATATTTTAAGTATAAATATTTGATTCCATTAAGAGTCCTGAAGCAAAACAAGATGAAAAGCTTTAAAGGACTAGCACAGCAGTGCCTTTAAAAGATAACGATTGAAAACACTGTACTTATAGCTTGAAGAGGAGCAAAACAAAAGTTTCTAGGTTGCCAGTTTGACACTTTTCGGTGTCCTTTAAAAGTATGTCATAAGAATCAGGAGCATACTTTAAGTTTACAAGTGTATGGTTCTTTGACAGACTATTTTATGAGTCGCTTTTACACTTACTTTCTCCATTTCCTTCTGTAATTCCCACCTAAATCTGCTGTTTATGAATATAAATAATAATAATGAAAGAAGTGTGATTGAGGTACTAATGACCCCACACAGAGTGTGAATCTCACTGTGAGATCAGGAATTAAACTCATGTTCTCGTTGCATTCTTAACCAGATTGAAGGTTGGGATATTAAATGAAGCAGGAATGGGGAAGTTCGGGCTCAGAATGACAGCTGGTCAGACGGCTTTGGCAGACAGATATACTGTAACTGTATGTGTATTCTATTTAGCTAGTCAGGTATGCAGAAAGACAGACACACATACCTGGAGCCAAACAAACTGGCAGATCAGCCAAACTATCTACTCGATTAATAACCTGCCAGGAAAGTGTCAAGACCAAACCAAAAGTGGTAAATAAGAGAAGACTGTCAATCTTACAGTACTTGGATTTGCCAAACACTTTTTTTTTATACAGTATTTACTGTAACATATCAACTTTATCCTGCACTCAATAAATATAATTGGTGAATGATGCATCCTCAGCATTTGATTTCTATCTATCTATCTATCTATCTATCTATCTATCTATCTATCTATCTATCTATCTATCTATCTATCTATCTATCTATCTATCTATCTATCTATCTATCTATCTATCTATCTATCTATCTTTCTATCTATCTATCTATCTATCTATCTATCTATCTATCTATCTATCTATCTATCTATCTATCTATCTATCTATCTATCTATCTATTTTTTATTTATGTATTTATTTATTTTTGGTCTGCATCACTGCACTAATAGCAATGCTTTTCAGTGTTCAAATGTTTGAGCTTGACCATTGACGGCTATTAAATGTTTAGTAATACAATTTATGATGAAACTTGTGTTTAAATGCTAAAAGAATGACCGGCAGGATCATCCTGTGATACTACAGTAAATACTGTACTTTTTAGGTAAAATGTTGCTGTTTGTAACTTTTGTAATTTAGCATTACATTTTTGCCAAAATATTTATGTCATGGAATAAATTTGAAATAAAAACATGTAAAGAATGACTACAAGCATGTTCAGTGCGATATACATCCAACATGACTGTTTCACAGGGTTTCGTTATGCAAGTATGACATATAGAAACATTCTTTTGTTCCTTTTTCAATTAAATTGATCAATGAGCAAGTAGGGTAACTGCATTGGTTGGCATATGAGAGGGCAGCAGGAGCACATTGTTTTTTATTTTCTTAATTATTGTTTTTATGGAACCGTAATCATGTTAGGAGGTATTTTAGGATGAGATTTTTTATGTTTATGTATGTTATACATTGTCTTGTTAGGTCTATGTACAGCAGAACCTTTTTTACTAAAACAAATTTCTCCTACGGGAGACAATAATTTTTACCTTGACCTTGACATTGAAATGAATCCAGCCTTGCTTTGGTTAAGAGGCAGTGAAAAATTGTAAAGAATCTTAAAAAGTCTAAATATATAATTGCTAGTGTTTATTAGTTTCAATATTACAGTTTACGTAATAGTTACATAATATTATGGTTGCTGAACCCTTTATTGGGCAAAAGACCATGTTGATGTTGATTATGATATTCTAATGATTTAATAATTAAAGTTCAATTATAATAACCCACAGTAACACTCTAGGGTTTTTACAATGAGTGCCTTATAAAAGATTAAACAAATCGTTGAGTTTTATTTATTTGTTTAAACCTAGAATTTGGTGATAAATATAGATCATTTTCTGACTTTAGTAATATACCAATGATGTAATCCCAAATAAACCCCAAAAGGTTCCTCAAGTATTGTTTCAATTTATTTTAGATATTTGACTCTACAGATGAAGACAATGGGGTGGTTTACTACAGACTCTTTCTTTCTCTCCTATATAGGGAGCGAATGCAGCAGTCTGCCATGTATGATCTGTGTGTGGGGATGCGGCAGGTGAGCCAGGAGTTTGTTCGTCTTCAGCTCACATATGAGGAATATCTGGCCATGAAGGTTCTGCTGCTGCTCAGCACAGGTGAGACTGTGTGCACTGTGTCCTATCTGGTTGTTAGGCTGTGACATACAGTTGAAGTCAAAATTATTACTTTTTTATTATTAATTATTAGAAAATGTGTTGAAGAATTCTTCAACACATTTCTAAACATAATAGTTTTAATAACTAATTTCTAAAAACTGATTTATTGTATAGTTCTTTGCCATGATGACAGTAAATAATATTTGACTAGATATTTTTCAAGACACTTCTATACAGCCTAAAGTGACATTTAAAGGCTTAACTAGGTTAATTAGGTTAACTAGACAGGTTAGGGTAATTTAGCAGTTATTGTATAATGATAGTTTGTTCTGTAGACTATCGGAAATAATATATAGCTTAAAGGGGCTAATAATATTGACCTTAAAATGGCTTTTAAAAAATAAAAAGCTGCTTTTATTGTAGTCGAAATAAAACAAATAAGAATTTCTTTAGAAGACAAAATTATCAGACATACTGTGAAAATTTCCTTCCTCTGTTATACATTATTTGGAAAATATTTAAAAAAATAAAAAAATAAAGGGGGTTTAAAAATTCTGACTTCAACTGTATGTAAAACTGTTACCAGGTCCAATCCTGTACTCATTTGAACTGAAAACTAGCACTTACTAGCTGGCCTTCATTACACTCACCCCCCTAAACCTCACTCCCACCTGTGTTACGGCACCAATGTAACCTCGCCGGTCACATGCCACCCAACCTGCTCCGAGCCGGTATTGAATTGGCGACCTTCTGCATGGGAGTCGGTTGCTCTACCAAGGAGGCTAAAGACCATGGCCTCTAGCATCTGTCACTAGAGCAACTTTAGAGGTCAGAGGAGTGAAGTTTACCTGCACAGCACTTACTAGCTGGCTTTCGTTACAAGTACCATTTGTTGTTCACTTTTTTGACATGCGATTAATCGTTTGGACGCAGAAACCTTACCACGTGACATCAGACTCAACAAGTAGATCGTTATATGCCAAAGCTCGACAATCTACAAACAACAATGAAAAATAAGCAAATGCATTAATGAATGGCTGTTTTCGTGTCACTTTGGCCTCCAGCGGTCGATCTGGGCATGTAGGCATCTGAGTTCAGAGGAATTTCCATTAAGTTTGATAGTATTTTAATAGTAAGTGACACCTGTGGTTTGACCTATTGGCTTAGCAAGAAGAGGTTTGAATGCCTTATAAAAGGTCACTCTCGCATAATAGAAGTTCACGTAGTGCAAGCTATGTCCATAAACTGGTAAATCAGGTCCTTGTGCCTAGAGACTTATGCAGCTGAGGTCAATGAGTTTTTAGCTTTTCAACAATGTACTGTTGGCAGTTATGCACATAATCAGGATAGAGTACTGTACATATGTGCTGCTGGTATTCTGGGACTCAAGTTACAGACTTTTTAAATTCCGTCATCACACACCTGTTACAGGCAATACACTGCAGGTGTAAAGAGTATAACAAATTAAGTAATAGTTATCATTGTACTTCTGCAGTTGAAACATTTTTGTATTATATGATTTATAAAATATTAAATTAGACATAATATTTCTGTGCTAATTTACATAGATTTCTAGCACAAAAATTGAACAATGGACTTAAAGCAACACTCCACACTTTCTTAGGAAATAGGCTTATTCCTCTAAACAGTCCATTTAATCAATCTCTGGGTCTGGCGGGAGCACTTTTAGCTTAGCTTAGCATAAATCATTAAATCAGGTCAGACCATTAGCATCTTGCTCAAAAAATAAATTAATTAATTAATAAAAAAAAAGTATATACACACACACACATATATATATATATATATATATATACACACACACACACATATATATATATATATATATATATATATATATATATATATATATATATATATATATATATATATATATATATATATATATATATATATATAATGATTATTTCCATATCTAATGCTTGACTTTCTGTAGTTACATCATGTACTAAGACCAATACTATTTTCTTTGCTTATTTCTTCTGCTTAATAATTAAGGAACTTTGCTGTAATACTATGGCTGCAACAGGTGCAATGGTGTAATCCGATTCAATGTTTATGTTAAGCTAAGCTAAGCTAAAAATGCTCACTCCAGACCTTAAGATTGGCTGAATTTGTTCAAAAATGATAGAACACAGCTGTTTAACTCTGGAAGACTTGTAAAATGAGCATTTTTCAAAAAACAGTGTAGTGTTCCTTTAAGATAGGTTGAAAATGATTTGATATCTTTTTAACATAAAGTCAAAGGCTTTTACAGAAGGGATTTCGAGAATCTCTTTTCATCCCTCCAGAATTCAAAACATTCTGCAAACGACCAGAAATCTATACTGTTGAATAATATGTTGTATACAATGAGGGGAATGAACTGTGAACAAATCCCTCTGTAGAAATCTTTACAATACAGATATGAATAAAACTTTACAGTTTGGTGTAAGCGCTGCTGAAGTGGAGATTTCTTAAAAAAACGTATGAATATGTATTGTTATCAAAATTTACAGACACAAATTGACGAAGTACTACAAAAGAAACACTTAAATGTGCATTTTGGAAGTTTTATTGACTGAAAAAGTGGCAAAATCACTGTACTATGCTTTAATCTGCAGTGTCTCACCTTAAAAATATGGGGAAAAATATCTCAAACATGAGATATTTATTTATATATTTATTTCAATGTATTTTATTTTACAGTGTTTTGTTTATTTCAATACAAGACTTGTCATAAAATCATTTGATTGAAGGATTTAAATGGAGATAAAAATTTCATTTGTGCTTAAACTTTATGTGCTTAGTTCAGTGCTAATAATATCGCAAGAAAGGCAATTTCAGTCTAGGTCTGAAGGCTACATTCATCAGTACTGAATGATGTCCATCATTGTGTGTTAATGGGTTTTAAATTAAAACGTCATTCGAATTAAACGTTTTCCATAATTACCACTACAATCTTAAGGTGTGATGCTAAGTAATTGCTTTTTAGAAGATATTGCTTTGCTTGCAAAAATGAATCGGATTAACTAAGAAAAGAAACTTAAAAGAAAACATGTTTCAGTGTATGCAAAGAAGCAGTGCAAAGAATCTTCATTTAGTTTAGATTAAGATTAAAGTAGTTTAAAAAGAGCTAAAATAAAAATAAAGTATCAATTCATAAAAGTTAGAGAAATTAATAAATAAATTAATCAAATAACTAAATTAAACACAAAATTATTAAAACTCAATTATCAATATTACCATTACGATTACTAGTTTATAATGCTAAATAATAATAATAATAATAATAATAATATTTAATAATAATAATAATAATAATAATAATAATAATAATAATAATAATAATAATAATAATAATAAATGAACATAAAATAATTGAATAAATAAATAAGCAATACATTCTAAATAAAACAAATAAATAAATAAATAAATAAATAAATATGGAAGGTATATCATTTTAGTTTTCACATAAAAATATGAATACTTTTAACAACAACAACAACAACAACATAGTAATAATAATAATAATAATTATTATTATTAAATAAATAAATAAATAAATAAATAAATAAATAAATAAATGGGGTATATCCGTTTGGCTCTTTATATAAAAAAATAATAAAAACTGCTACTATACTACTACTACTATTACTACTACTAATAATAATAATAATCACGTGCATATACAGAATATTCTGTTTATATCACAGGTATACATACAGAAGAGCTAATGCACCCTTGGCCCTACAGAATATGAGACTGAAGTAAAGTTCTGAGTCTGACTTCCACACAGGATAGACTTTTGGGATCCACAAGCACTTGCTGATCCTCTGGAGCCTTTCCAGAGAGCCCTGCTGTACTTAATAAAATCCAGTCAGGAGACGGGCATCGCTCCAAGAGCTGCTGTTTCTCTCCCAAAAAAGAGAGCATGGTTGAAGAAGAGAGAAGCAGTCTACGGTGGTACATTATTGAGGAGCTGAACGTTTTGATGGAGCGATTCTTTAAAAATAGCTTTCCTGATCCAAAAATCAACTTGAATAAAAATGTAGATGTCTCTCGCTGACAGTATTTGTGATATGGGATTATGAGTGTCATCTCAGTTTTCAGGGGCAATTAATTCAACTTTTGCTGTGCTGTTTGAGATATCAGATACGCTGGGAAGAGCTGTTTTGTTATATAAATAAACCGGTTTCTGTTTTCCATGAGAATAAAACGATTGCATTATATGAGAAATGCTAGAAGTTTCTTATCATCTACTTTATATTATACCATTATATAATGCAGTGCTTCTAAATTATGAATGCTGTTCTGTTAGCATGTTATGTTATAGTTACTGATTTATGATTTTTTCAATTTTATATGTTTACCACATCCTCCATTTTACCCTTGGTGAATGTGAGCAAAGGCTGTCGAAAACAAACAAACAAACAAACAAAAAATTTAAATTGTTTAACCTTTTGCTAAAAAAATGATGATGATGGCTTCTGATTTAAGTTGTGGGTGCCTTTTACACTAGTGCATTTAACATGGCTAAACGTCTGATGCATATGGCACATTTTTAGAAAAACTTTTATTTTATTTTACATTACTACATGACTCTCCGGAATACTCGATTTTGATTGGTCTGTTGTAACTAGGAATGGGCGGTACTACAGTTTTTTTATTTGATACGATACCCATACTTTTTGTTAAAGTTTGTACGATACCGAAACCGATATCGATACCACTTTTTATTAAAAATGTTTATGTAATTTTTCTACATAATGTTAAAAAAATCATTACATGTAAATATACATACACGCACACACACGACCATATTGCATATACACACTGTATATGCACACTGCACAGATACACACACACACACACACACACACACTTTTATTTATTAACCAAATTGGATTGAGAGAAAAGAGAAGAGCTGAGTTATTATTTTATTTATTTATTTTTATTTGTATTGTATTATTATTATACTATATATTATATTACTATAC